CCACTACAGCGTGTTTTTTTTTTCCCCCTTTGTTTTTTTCGCTGGCTCGTTGTATTTGACAGCATGGTTGAGTCGCTATTGAGGTGCCGGACTCCCTGTGCTTACTTATTTGCACCGTTTTTGTTTTTGGTGGTGGAACGACTTTTAAATGCCAGGTTTCGAGCATGTCTCAACCTTACGGAACAGGAACCAAATACATCCCTTGCAGATCATAGGCACCTCCAGTTGTTTAGGGAACCTCCTTTTCGGGACCTTTGTGTTGAGGAGACCCTCTATGCCTCTATGCCGAACTCGGGGGGGGGTAAGACATCGCATTGGCTTCCCTTCAGCCAAGGTCCTGGTTTGCATGGTGCACTTCCATGATGAAATTGGAAGGAAAAGGGCAGAAAAGTGGGGTTTGTTTCATGGGGTGTGGGGGGGGTGCTTCTCAAAATGGTGGACCCCCTTTTTGGTCGGCAGTCTTACTTAAATGGACACCAAAAGGAAATCAATTGTTTTGGGGGACCGATTCCTATTTGGAGAAACACCCGCCTAGAACAAAGCAGGACACCCATGTTTGTCTGATTGTTTTTGTTTTTGTTTTTGTCTTTCCCTTTTCCCTTCTGAAGGTCCGATTAGTGGCTTGGGACTTGAACCCCAGTTCCCAACGTACAAACCACCAGGACAAACCACCAATTCGGGACAAGGTGAGAAGGGCAGGCGTCCCGAAGAAAAGGTCCACACCCAACTGTCTCAGACTGCGTGGGCTGCTTTAGAACCCCAGCCACAGTCAGCTCTTTCTAATCAGTACTTCTTTGCAAACAAGCTTGGAGCCACAAAAGGAATTTCATTGTTCCGTGGAGCGTATGTTCATTTGCAGGGGGTGTTCCTTGCTTGAACCTACTTTTTGTCTAGTCCGGAAGACCCTCAACTCAGTCGGGGTCCATGACTTATTTCTGGGGAGAGTCTACTTGAGGTTTGCCAGACTTAGCTTCCTGTTTCAACTGTTTGCCTTTTTGGGTTTCCACAATTTTCCTTGTCAACCAACAGACCGTTCGCTTGTTGCAGGGGGTCTAAGTCTGGTCAAGTTGAAAAAAAGGGGAACCCCTTCGCCAACATTTCCTGCGTTTTGGCAGGACACGCAGAGGGGCAAAGCTGAGCAAGGCCTTGGCACAGGGGTTTTGTATGGTGGCCCTATATGGATTCGTATGTTTTTTGAGACCCTGTTTTTCTTGGTTTCACGGGAAGCCTTGTCAATCCTAAAAGGACACCAAAAGGGGGGTGGTTCATGATCCAATTTTTGTAATTCCTTCCTCCTGGCAACAAAAATGAACACCAAATTGACAACGTCCCCCTGGAAAAACAAGTTTTTACTGTTGACTGTTAAGGGTCTGAGCAGCTAGTGGAGGGCAACGGGCAGTTCTTCAGTGCCGACGGAAAGGGCTCACCGGAAGAGGCAGCCATGGCTGCGCTCGTACCAGTGCTTTGCCTGCTACCCAGCGAGGGAATCCCGTCATTTTTCTTTGGCCAACCTCCATGCCGTGTGCCTTAGCATGGCTCAGCCAGAACAAAACATTCTAGACTCAGCTTGCCCGCTTCCCTTTCTTTTTGTAGATCAAGTTTCCTTTTTACCAGCAAAGAGTGGACGTTTCGCTCGGGGTCTAAGTCAGGCGATGTAAACCTGCCGCAGACTTTAGGTGACCTTGCGAAAGGACCAATGATCGAAATCTATATGGCGCCGCGATTCCAGGAAATGGCTTGTTCAGAAAAGTTCCAAAGAGATGTTGCTTTTTTGCTAGGTCCCTTTGCTGGTTCTTGCTGAAAGGCACGTGCGGGCCTTTTGGACATCATTTGGGGGCTGCATCAACTTGCCTCGCCCCATTTATGTATTGAACAATCCGCAACGGATGCCGCGGCCAAGAATGCGGTTGTGGAAGCAATGTGTTGAGGGTTATTATGTCGGTGTGAAGGGAAGTCTATTGAAAGTGAAAACGCAGCTATGTGGATGGGCATCAACCGTGCTTGGTGTCAAAGAAAGGGGGCATGATGCACAACCGCGGCCAAAAGATGGGTGCCAAACACACCCTGTGACAAATCACACTGTGAGAACCTGGTGTTGGCAATTTGACGACTTGAGTTCCTGTTTGTTGGTTGATGCCTAAAGCCAGATTGGTTTGTCGCTTTCTGGGGGACAATCTTCTTGGGTCCTTTATAATCGACTTCAAAGGGAAACCAACCATTTAAGGGGCTCTATATCCGATTTCCGCCTGCGCTGCCTCAGCCCTGGAAGTACTGCGGAAGCGGTGGATGGCGGCCCGGATGGATTTCCGTCGACTCGTAAGAGGCCTTTCAGTCAATTTGGAACTGTCCCATGGTGCGCTTTTGAGTGGATGGTGGTTTGCAATGGCTATGTTGTTAGTGCTTTTGACGCGAGAGGCGCCGGGACTTTAGGGCCACGACTGCGAAGCTTGAACCTCCCCAGCGAATGCACGGGTTTATGGTGGACGGTCCAAATCCAAACACCTTGGGGATGGGGAACTTTGCCCATCCCTTCTGAGTTTGGTATCCATGCTGTGTTGGGGTCGAACAATGAGCACCTCCATGCCCAGTCAAAACTGTGAGTCGCCTAATTATGAGGAAATGTCGACCCCAAGTTTGACGCAAACCCAGGGGTTTCACTTTGGAAGAATCAGCCGCCCCAGGTTTAGGTCAAGCGCACCTCAGGAGTTGTTCTCACGAGGATCACTTGCAAGTATGACTGTTAGCAACTTAGCCTCACCATGGGCGTTCGTCGTTGATCACGCCGTGTACGCGGAGCACTTGCATCTTATAACAGGAGGGCAAGTGTGGGAGACCCTGCGCGGCTTAGACTGAGGTCGTGGTTGCACGCGATTTTACATTCATGGTCAGCTCAATCACGTTGTGGGGAAAGTTTGTTCTGGGAATGAATTACTCGCGACTGAAATGAAAGATAATCTACGGCCCACAGGCATGAAGCTCAGGGGCTCGTGCAAAGAGGAAGCACATATTCTCAAGATGGGGATCTTCCATGGAAAAGTCTAGCGGGTCTTAGAGCTTGTCCTGATGCATTCTTCGTGGTTGGCTTTAACCATCTACCATTTCAGGCGGCAGACGCCAAGCGTTTTCCGCAAAAGATTCAACACCAGTAGCGATTTAACAGGAGCCATGGTCCCTATAAAGTGGCTTTGAAGGCGTAGACATGTTGATTTTCAAGATGCAAGTTTGAACTATGACCTATGGACACCACTTGTGGCCGCCGTAAATATGTTGATTTGACACTGGTGGGTTGTGAAGGCGCTGCACAACATTTATTAAGATTGGCGCCTGAGGCCGCATACTGTAATACTCCAAGGAATGACCCGTTGCACAGACCATGAATCTGTGAGAGGGAATCTGAAAGGTATTTGCAACTATGGCTTGAACATGTTCCCAGTTGTCCAGTAGCACCTGTAGACTCTCTTGCCGTTCAGTGCGTCCCTCACCCCTTTAAAGGCCCTGGCATCCAAAAACCCTCGCCTTGTTTCAATCAGATCGGGTCATTGGTTGCACCAGGTGTTTCAGCAGATTCAGATGAAGGCCTTTTGGGTTGGCCTTTTCGTGCCCCCAAGACAGCAATCCATGGGCAGGTCCAAAATCGGGACAACTCTAGCTCGCATTTAGGACCGGCTCTTCAACCCGCGTTTGAAGCGCAAAGCCTTCCGGGGCTGGGCAGGGCCACTCAGAAAGTCCTGAAGACCTCAGGAATGGAGTGGGAATGATCTGACCCTGATTAGTGCGCTCCCCTTCTCCTTTTGGTATGGTGTTGGACGAAACTAAAGGAACCAATCCCTTATTAAACACCCCTATCTCACTTGCCGCAGTTTGGGAAGGTTGATTTAGTGGTGAACAAATATAATTGACTCTTTTCTACTCAGGAACAACTTTGCTACAGCGAGCTCACCAGTTCTGGGGCGGGGGTGTAAAACAAGCAAAAGCCATGATTTTAGTTTTTGACTCGGAGATGTGTTACTTCAGTTTTGAAGTTGTACAGAGTGTTGGTTTTGTACTATGACTCCAATGGGAATCCCCTTGCAGGTGTTCTGATTAAAGGATTAGTTCTTGGAAGTTCTCTTTGAATCATGACAAACATCTAGCACCAGTTGAGATGGATGAAATCGAGTGAATGGAACAAGCCACCTACCAGTTGGTGCGAAGCGGATTTTGTCCATCCACAAGAGCGATTTTGGAACGAAGAAGCTCGCGAAGAGCGGTCCTCGAGTCCAAGCAAATCTTGTTGTTTCTCGAGTGGCCCCAAACCGTGAACCGTTTCTTATTATTTCCCTTTCGCTTACCTCCCCTGTACTTGATACTCTTTAGGATCACTATTTTAGTGGCAAACACACAGTTCCGACTTTGGCAAATCCAATCATGAAGTGAATGAGGCTAGACAGGGAATGTGTTCATTCGTACTGGGCATGGGCTAAAAGTCGAGGAACCTCCTCGGGGCCCTTGTTGCCCCACGTGTGTGTGTGTGTGTGTGTGTGCCATTTGCACGAGGACCTTTGGCCGGGTTTCCAGAATCAGGTGGACGCCCGCCCTCCCAAAACACATTACAACTTGTCCTGTTTAGGTTAGTTTGCTTCGAATTAGATGGCACTGGTTGAGATGGGTTTGATTCCATTTACCAGGACCATCTATTTTTCGTCAGGTCACCCGGTTCACGGAAGAATTCCTGCACTGCCTCAGGGCACACCCATGTAAAACTCCCTCGCCCCTAATTCAATGTTGAGTAGTGACGCATGAGGGCGATGCAGGAATTGTGCTAGCTGCGAGGTTCGGCGTGTGTACCTTCTGAAGAGCCAATGTTAAGTTGGGAGCGCGAGGCCTGACGAGAATGTTCTCATTTTTGTAGGTTTTATTCCGTCAACAGCATGAGTACATCGGTTTGTTTGCTGATCAGCTTGATCAGTTGCCTGTCTGTTGTTTTGAGTTTGGCACATCTCAAAACATGCTCTCTTGAAATGAAAGGGCTCTCTTCCACAAGGAATACAGAGGGCCTCCACAAAACAGCGTATATATCTACATATATATATATATAATATTATCGTTAGGGCTGACTAACTCTGAAACATAACCTGCACATATTCTGTTTAGAGTACCCCACATGTGGTGCAAACTTCCTTGAGAGTCATGGAGGCTGCATGGTTGTGGTGATGCCGCACTAGTCGCTCGGAATTTCCATTGGACAGTCCGCACCAAAAGGCTGAAAGTACAGGACACCCCCCGCAGATCAACATCTTAGTCCCTGAGTTCCTGGATTTGAGCCCAAAAGTTTGGATTTGGCAAACGCACGCAAGAAGTGAGACACTCCTGTACTTTAGAGGACATTTCTTTTTGGGGACCCTTCCCTTTCTTTTGGTGGCTTGCAGTGACTCAACTCCGCAAGAAAATCCGTGCGCAAGAAAATCGAATGGAGGTCAAGAAACCAGTGGTTGGAAAGGTTTCCCATTTTGACGCCCATGGCCTCAAGACCCATCCGTTTTTCAGCTGTTCTACGTAAGTTGGCTCGTTTGGTGAGGCATGAGCCAATGAAATTGGTCCTTTAAACGCAAGAATCGTGCTAAAAAGTAGTTCTGGCGATGGCCACTTCCGTTATCAAAAGAAATAATTCCCACCCCATGCTCAAACAGGGTTCCTATAGGGTTCCCATTCTACCGCCGGGCAATTTTGGCACGGCCGCGTGCAAGGCACGAGCTTTCAGAGAAACTGCGGAGGCGGTGTCCATGCTTTCACAGGCCGGGCTGTGCTTGTGAGCTGTCGTCACATAGTCTGCTTCATGTTTGGAGGGCATGGGGAATCACAAAGAATCACAAGACTCACCAAATTTCCCTTGTCCTCTTGGGACTCTTGGGGAAGCAAGACATTTGCCCGTTGTTCACGCGTTTGCCGAATGTTCAAAAGGGAAACCAAAGAAACACCACCATCCTCGGGTTCCCTATTAGGACATGCCAGGGGCTGGGCAAGATGTTTTAAAACAACCAGACCCTGGCCGCCTTCACAAAGAAGGTTGGGAAACATGGGCTTAATATTGAATGTGAGGTTGAAACACAAAAGCCAGGAGACATGCCCATGTGCTGGAACACCTTTGACGGTGGCAATGGCTCATTTTCACCGTCATGTATGCGGGGTCTCCTCCACCACTTTTGTATGTTGTAGGTTGACTGAACATATGAAGCAGAAAATTGAATTTCTGTGTACCCCAAATGTAGGCCAAGGTATGGTGGTAAAGGCATACGACACAAGTCGCGAAGGGTTTTTTGGTTGGAACTGTGTTCTTCCTTGGGTATCCTTCGGGCCACCCACCTAATCCAGTGCAGTGATGCCATGGATGTTTGCCTCAGGGCAGCCTAAACGTTAGGCCCTTCCAGCGCGCGAGGACCTTTGCAACGCCCTTAGGCAAACGCGCCGACTGTGGGCCCTTGAAACAAACACATCTGGGTGGCTCGTCATTTGTTCAGGTACTTTTTTTGTGGCTTCTAAGAAAAAACAAAAGGACAGCCCACCCATTTTGCAAGTCCAACCTTAGAAAGACAAACCCATGTTTTTGTTCACGGCAAGGCCTGTTCCGACTAGCAATTCGGCGCAAGGCGGCACCCAGGCCCGAAAAGGAAGCGGCCATATTTACATAGTTGTTTGGCAACCCAACTGGGTCAAACGTGGGCGGTTTCAGTGGTTTCCCTTACTTTCCCTTTAAACCAACTATAACCAGCCCCATAAAAGGTACCCTCAAACACACCCAAGCCAATGTGCATGTCTTTTTCTTGAGGGTACCCTTTTCAGGTTGGTTTGAACGGGACACCGACATGAGGATCACCATTTTGGGTGGCTTCCCCCATTTCGACACGCAACGGGTCCCAATTCGGCGATCCGAAGCTGCAGGCGCCGCCGGACTCCCCCCGAAGGCTTCGCTTTCTCATTGCACGGCCCTGAGATTCCACTCGGACGCGGAAAACGAATCCACTCGGATCATCGAGGCGCATGCTGGACCTTTCGGAAGCAAATCCGGCGGCCGGGTTTTTTCGCAGCTAGCAAAAGGTGAGAATGGCTTTTCCACAGCCAAAAGGTCTCAGAACCTTTTGCTCAGGGCTTGGAGTTTCCTGCCTTAATCGCCGTCCCGTCACTCGGGTTTGGACCATTTTTGGGGTACACAAAGAGTGAAGTGAAGAGAACAACTGGTTACTCGAAAAACCCGGCGAAAAACATGACAAGCGGCGTGCTATTTGCTCCAGATTGGGGTATGTGTTTGTTGAGGGTAGCCTTTGCAGGTTGGATTGAAGTTTAAAGGGCGGCCAAAACGAGCACTGAAATCCCGTTTTGGGGGTTGCCCGTAGGCAGAACCCATCGGACCAACTCCTACGCCCAATGTGCAACCCGTCCTGTCCATTCCTTTGCACTTGCGGAAGTGAGGAAGATGCGGAGCGCGACAGCTTCTCTCGGCAGTTCGAGCAGTGGCTGCAGGAGGAGCTATGGTGCGGGTTTCCAATTGGAGACCCTGTCGCTTTTCGTTTAGCTTCGTCTTAAATCTGCTTTAAGATTCACTAAAATGTTGATGCCCACATTGCAACATGGAGTAATGTTGACCCCGTATTAGTCTGTAACCTCCCCCCCTTGAAGGTTGGAAGTTCTTCAGGTCATGGGGTAAGATGCTTTTGAAGGCTGAGCTTGTCAAGCTTGCTTGTCAGACGTGCTCACTTGTTCCTCCAACATGATCATAGCTTTGCAGGCTCTAAAAGGCATTCTTTGGTGCACTTGGCCTTGCACTCTCTCCCCTTCCGTGCTGAACATTTCAGGCTGGTAGCAAGCAGACAGCCACGAGAAGCGGAATGTCAGACTTCGCCTGCCGCAAATTGCAATGGTATAGAGTCAGACACCCAGTCGTTTCTTGTTTGCCTTTGTTTTGCAGGATTCATGATCAAATCAAGCACGGGGGGCTGGGTAGGGCTTATTGTCTCCCTTGTTTTGGGAGGATTCATGCTCAAATTGAGTACTGGGGGTTTGGGCAGTTTCACACGAGCCAATGGGTCATGCACAAAGCTGCCGCCTTTCACTGTCCCAACCAAGCGACATTTTTGAGCATGATCGCCATGAACACTGTTTGCGTATGTTTTGCAAGACGCTCCAGCCATTTGCGACAGCGACCATACAGACAGTGTTGTTTGAAGTTGGTGCTTGTCATTGCAAGTGGCTTGTTGCAGCCATGGCAACAGGTTGCCAAAGGCTCGAAATCAGAGTGCCAAACACAGCGGAACAAGATCCTTTGAAGCTGTGAAGCCGGCTAAATGTACAGTGACCGCCATTTCGAAAATGCGAGTCAATCCCCTGATCTCCCCCCCCCCCCCAACCACAACCAGGGAGACCTAATCTTATTTTCGAGGTGCTTTCGAGGAAACAAATAATTCTGACATGGCCCATACGAGGGCCAGCAGCAACAGGAAGCCGACAAGATGCCGTTCAACTTGTTGAGAGGCCTATCCTTTCAGAACAAACCCTTGAGCTTTGTTTTGCTTGTTGGGTTGCTTTGTCAGGAATTGAAACCAGACGAGTCACATGTTCAAAGAGGGCAAGATATGTCCCTGCCAGAGTGTGTGGCTCAGGGCGAGGTAGGGTGGGAGCGCCAGACGTTTTTGTTTTTCACTTTCCCATGGGCAGCAACAGTTGGTCCGTGCCCACGTCGCATTGAGCGCGGAGGTTTCGACATGATCCGCTTGTCGCCACCTTTGCTGGCCCACGCTGGAATTTGACCATGTGCGATGAAAACGGGGGTGATTATGCAGGCGCTTCAGGAGCCACGCTGTCACAGAGCAGGAACGTTTTATCTGCGGTATCTCACGAGGCCTGTCGAGAGCCTCCTGCAATGCCGTGGGACAGGAACGATGTCCTCAATCCGTCAAACGTTTGAAGTTGCAATTTCCGTCACTGAGCTTGTCCAAAGTGGGGCTGAAAGAATTCTTGGCGGGGCCGTCTGGCACGAGTCCACCTGCGGCCCCGGACCAGGTGGCTTCCTTTCCAAGGACCAGGATTCGTGCCAGAGTAATGGCCAGCATCGAGCCTTTGCTGAAACAGGCAAGGGCTCTCTCGGTTGCTGAACTTGCAGCGCTAGAGGATATTGTTCTGGGCACAGAGGCCAGCCACGTTGGGGTTATTGCGGGATACCTCTTGTTTTGCGCCATGTCGTGTTGCCGTTTTTCTGACGCACTCTTCGCGATTGACTTCGTAGTGTCTTCGCACGGGAGCACAGTTCTTATCGAGGCCGGAACCAATGTGCACAAAACTGCCTCCAGTAAGGAGAAGAAGACTGTCCTTCTCCCTCTTGTGGCTCTCGGGAAGGTGTTCCGCAGTGACTCCTGGGCCAAAAAATGGTTCAGCCTCAGACAAGCCTGCGTGCCTAAGAACATCCGCTTTGTCCTGCCGGCTTACTCTGAACAGTCAGGGAGGTGGCTCAACAGGGCAATGACGACAGCTGAAGGCATTTTATGGATGCAGGACATCATGAGCTGGAAGTGCACCACCGGTGGTTCCTTAACCACCCACTCTCTGAAGGCTACCCTGCTCAAATGGGCCACCATGAGCAACTCCATGGACATGCAACAAAGGAGGATCTTGGGTCATCACGTGGACCCAGGAAGTTCTTCGCCGCTTACATATGGGCGGGACAATGTGGCTGCCATACAGGCGCAGGTAGCGGCCACGCTTCAACGCATCAAAGCCGGCAGATTTGACCCGGATGAAACTCGAGTGGCCTTTGTGGATAGACAGATAGCATCCTTCTGCGCAGAAATCGACAAATCCAGTCGATGCCTCGGACGTGGAAGATGCAGACGAAGCTGAGGCTGAAGCTCATGAATCTAAGGCAGCGCTGAGAATTTTCTTGCCAGAGGCCGCTTCCGATAGCCGCATCATGCAGCACTTGGTGTCCGGCACTTTGCATGTGATAGGCTTAGAAGACCGCTTCATGTGTGGCAGATTCATTTCCGTGGGCTACCAGCTCCCGCTAGGCGATCTTGTCAGGGAGTGGCCCTTGTGCCAGCAGTGCAGAAATGCAAGTGGCGAAGTTATTGAGGACATATTTGGCCATGTTTGACATGTCAATGCAAGTGCGTGAAATATGCAGCTCGCAGCCAGCGGTGGTCCATTGTGTCAGGTTTAATTTGTTTTTCTTTCAACGAGCCAGGGGACTTTGGCCAGTCTTATGCCGATTTTGAAGGGAATAGCTTCTTAGTGTCCATGTTTGAGAAGGTCAGTGTCTGGTAAGTGCGGTGCACGTGCGATAAACCCTTGGGCCCCACTTCAGTTTGAAGAGGCCATTGTCTCGGCCCTCCCTATTGTCATTGTGCCGGGATTGTGTAGGCCCTTTGAAGCAAGGGCGCGTGCCGTTGCATTACCGTGCAATTGTAATTTGAATCAGCGGTTCGAGCAACTTTGAGTTTCTACCATGGATAGCGAGGCCTCTTTTGAGGATAGGGCCAGACAGATAGGCGTTTCACCCGATGGCATAGTAAGCGCCGCAGTTTAAACACATTTGGAAAGTTTGCTTTTCTGTCGGCGTATCAGCCAGGTAGTGCAGATGAAGGGCCATTGATCACAGCCCTGGAAGAAGTCCTAGGGGCTCGGCCAGACGCCGCAAACATGGCGTCATGGCGCCGGCTCTTCTTCACCTGGTTTTCATGTGGTTTCCAAATGGTTTGCACATGGTTTGCACATGGTTTGCACATGTCCCCCACATGGTTTTCATGTGGTTTCCACATGGGCCCCACATGGTTTTCATGTGGTTTCCACATGGTTTCCATCCCATCCATCCAATCCATCCCATCCATCGCATCCATCCATCCATCCCAGGACATCAATTGGTACATGAACTAAGCAGATACTGGCAGGATTTACATGAGTTTAAGCAAAAACATGCAAATCATGCAGGTGTACAACACATTTATGTAACAAATAATGTCCCCCATGCAAGTGGCATTCTTTGATGACCATGTGTTGGCAAGCCAGCCAAATTTCATCTGGAAGCCCTGGTTTGGTCTTGGGATTTGGGATTTGGGACCGCCAGGACACTGCCTCCCCACATGGTTTTCATGTGGTTTCCTGAGTCGCACACCTTGGCAATGTCAGACCTGAAAGCGCGCTTAGAGCGAAAAGGGGAAGAGGAACCCAGAAGGCTCCTTATGCCCGAACGTGTCGAGAAGTTACGCCTTGCCAAGCAGGAACTGGTGGGCATCACGATCGATGCTCATTTGGAGCCCGCACGTAGGCTTGTTGATGCCACAGTTCAGCAAGCAGAAGAATCCTCACTGCGGTACATCGCACTGACAGAATGCGTTTCGCGTGAGATGGAGCTTCTGAACCAGAGGAAGGATTCGGCAATTGAGTTCTCTTCAGATGGCACCATGAAGCTGGGCCGAAAGCAGAAGGAAATTAGAATGGACATTTCCGGCGAGCTTCGTGTCCGTATGGCCATGCAGAGGAGGGCGCTGGCTTACCATTTGGCGAGTGTGTGTTCCTTTCCAAAGCTTGATGCAATAGTACAAAGAATGTTCTCGCTCCTCACAAAGGAGCCAGCCAAGGGATTCCGCGCCGTGTCTCTGCAGCAACTCATCATGGCCGACCAGCAAATGTGGCTGACAGCCGCTCAGGAGGTACGTGGCAAGCAGCTAACTGACAACAGCAGGCCAGTGGATCAGGCCTTGCAGACTGCGTTCGATTCGCCTGAAGTGAGGTACCACCTGCTACCCTTGCCTTTATCGTCCCGCGCAGACCCTCCTCCTGCCAAAAAGCAGAAGGTAGAGCATTGGCCACCGCCAGCAGGCCCAAGCCGCCCAAGCCGCAACAAAGGAAAGGGCAAATCCAAAGGCATTGACTTGCCTTCGGGGTGTGTGCCGGAAACACCGTCAAAGCAGAGAATTTGTTTCCAGTATAACAAAGAGCGGTGTAATCATCAGGATGCAGACAGTTGCAGCAGGGGATTGCATGTTTGCTGGAAGGCAGGCTGCCATGGAAAGCATCCGCACACCAGGTGCAACTGCAGCTGAGTTACAACGCAAGGGTTGGAAGCGCTTCGGCCGGCCCCGGGGCAGTCAGAAGAAGCAACCATGAAGGTCGGCCCTTTTCAATTTTCCTTACCGGTCCCGTTCGCTTCCTTGAAGCCAGTAGATTTTGTGTGCCCTCTTGAGCAGCTATTGGTTCTGGAAGTGTTCGCGGGAGTGGCCTCGCTTTCACACGAATGCCGAGCAGCAGGTTTCACTGTGATGTCAGTTGGCCAACAGCAGCACAGGTTTTGCAAAGCAAAACTTTAGAGCCTCCGGCTCAGTCCGCCGACATTGTCCTCTCCCTTTTCTCCTTCTTCCTCTCTTCCTTGTCTCCCTCGTGTGTTCTGTCGTCCTCTCTCCCTCCCTCTGCTCCCATCCTCCCCATCCCCCCAAGCCTCTCTCTCCCCACTCTCCCTCTCTCGTATGTATGCATGC